AGAAAGAGGGACGGGATGGATTCTAAATCCACTGACCGAGGACCCCTTGTCAGTTTGATCTGCAGCAAACCATGAGAACCAAAGGAGAGCTCTGCTCAGACACCCTTTGTTGAATGAGATGCATTTGGGAATTCCTCCTTCACACTGTTTATTATCTTACAAAAACAGCCCACAATTAAGCAACTGCTTAATCAAACCAAGTCAGAGCAGAAAGACAATGGCCCTGGTCCGCAGCATCAGTAACGGTTTTTTAATATGCACTCACCCTATTTAGCATTCGCAAGTTTGGCTTGACTCCATATATGGTGAAAATCACACCAAGTTTTCAAGTAAGAAGCATGGCGAACCATGCCGCACACCTTCCTCTATGGGACCTTGGTCACCAGCCCTCAGACTATGCCCTTCGGACGCACAACCGGATAGTCCCTGACGTTTCTGAGTCTTCAGGGATGACCCTAATGGAAGAGATGTAGGTTACCATTCCCGTGAATAAGAAAGCAGTGGCCACACGCTCTGAGCAGGGCAGGGTATGTGTATAATTCTGTTAATGCGTATGTGTGAGACCACTATCTTAGCTCAGCAATGTGTAGACATTCAAAAACAGTTAGGTACTGAAAGTAATAATGGCTGGCATAGAAAACATATTAAATGTGTGCTTCTAGTCAAAACAAGCGAAGACCAGTGAAGGCTTGTTGGTGGAAACCAGTCTCATCAACACTCCCCACGTGATGAAGAAGAGCACAGCTGTGGATAATGGCGTTAGAAACATCACTGACCTCTGCACCACCGCACACTGGGACAGACAGGCATTCCTCCTGCTTCACTCCATGTCCCGGGTTCAGATTCCTTTGGCTTCTTTTGATGGTTGTGTCTACTGTCCAACTTCTATACTTTCAATGCGGGGCAGCAGGCGAAGCACAATATACACATAGGATGAAGCTCCCTGTTAATGATTATCATTATTATTGTTGGATCCTCATTTTTCTCGCAGCCTCTTGAGTAAGAGCCAGTTTCAAGTTGGGCTTGAGTTCCAAAGCCATTATCCTGAGCATAATAAATTAGTCAGCCAACAGAAACCACTGGAAAGTCCTCCTTTCTTTGCTTTCACAGACAAACAAAACAGCAAGTGAAGACACTGTGCAGTGCGGAAGGCACTTTGCAGATGACCTTCCTAGCACAGGTAAAAGTGGCCCCAGCACCACAATGCTTTATTACCTCACCAAGGTCCAGTCCTCCAGAGAAAAGGATGTGCTGGCCTAAAGCACTGTCAAGGTCTCACAGAAAAGGAGAGAGAGAGCCCACAATGGGATCCATCATTGCTCTCTCAGTCCTCCCAGGCTGCAACAGTGGATGAAGCCAGCCTGCATCCGACCATGAATGGGGTGTTGGTCTCTGGAGGGGTGCCCTATCCTTCATACAGGCCCAAACAAGAACTCTTAGAGGTATTTCAAAATACTTAACCTGTGTTCCGGTAAGGAAAGAGGGAAATGATAATTAGCAGTTTGAATCCCTAGTAATTAAAATTGTCAAAGAACTGAAGAATCAGAGAGGGCAAATCAGAACAAAGTAAGCCATATCTAGAATTGAGTCCACAATGCAACGTATGGTTAGGCCTATAGGAATATCTTAATTCACTGCTAGCATTTTTAAAATCTCTTTTGTCTTTAGCACAATACAACTTTGAAGAATTACAAGATTTTAAATAATGGAGGAAAAGTGAAAGTGCATTACATTTTTCTCTTCTTCCCTGATCCTCACCCAAGAATATGTTTCCTATTGATTTTTTTAGAGATAGGGAGAGAGGAAGAGAGAGAGAGAGAGAGAGAGAGAGAGAGAGAGAGAGAGAGAGAGAGAGAGATATCAAAGTATGAGAAAAACATCCATTGGTTGCCTCCTGTGTGACCCCCACAGGTATCAAACCCACAACCCAGGTATGTGCCCTGACCGGGAGCTGAACCGGCAACCTTCCAATGCATGGGGTGACCCTCCAACCAACTAGGCCACACCGGCCAGGGCACATTAATTTTTAAATAACTTTATGAATATAAAACGAATACATTCTCATTACAGAAAAAAGTCAGAAAACATGCACAGGCCTCGTGGAGAAAATAAATTAGGTAGATGTGGAGGGGGAGAGCCCCGAAAGTCTAAATTCAGGATCAATTCCAAAGAACTGGCATGCAGCCTTGTTCAAGGGCATAAGGACCCTGACAGGAGAACCCACATCCACGGCAAAGCAGTGCATGGTGGGCAGGGAAGAGCCACACCCACCGGGACAGGCCTCCGCTCACAGCTGGGTAACTAACCACATGGTGGGTGCCACGCAGATCGCCGGAGAGAACCACGCGTTCCTCCGTTAACAGCATCAGGCACGCAGCACACTCTATGCATCCACCAGTGTCCCTGCTGGGCCTGATGGGCGTCTTCGGGTGGCATTCTGGCTTTCTGTGGAGTCAGCCAAGCTCCAGGGTACAGAGAGCCAAACAGTAACAGAGTAGGTACTAGTCACAGAGAGATGATCATTTCCCAGATGCCTTTGCTGCTGAAGCCATACTGCATTTGTAAAGGAGTTCCCTTACACCTGCCATCACTTCACTCACAAAAACAAGTCCTATTCCATCATGGTGGCTCCTTCCAGCCTTCGCCTATGCATGGGCGTGTCCTATCACTCTGTGATAGAAAAAAGCCCCAATATAGAAGCTTATAAACCCAAAAACTCTTGCCACTGTTAAACAAATTCAAAAACTAACTTCAGGAAGTAACCTACACACAAGTCACTAAAAATGCAAAAACGTTCAGCCAGTTTCTATCCCTCATCTTTTCTGCCTGGTCCAGCCACGGAGAAGCCACTTCCTCACTCAGAGAAGACTTTTCCCTGCTCAGTCTTTCCATACCGAAAGGGATTCAGCAGTTGTTCACTTTCCGATTCTAATTTAAAAAAAAAAAGTGCATAAAATGTTGTTCTGGCTGGTTTTGCTCAGTGGATAGAGCGTCAGCCTGGGGACTGAAGGTCCCAGGTTCGATTCCAGTCAAGGGCATGTACCTTGGTTGCGGGCACACCCCCAGTGAGGAGTATGCAGGAAGCAGCTGATGGATGTTTCTCTCTCATTGATGTTTCTAACTCTCTCTCCCGCTTCCTTCCTCTCTGTAAAAATCAATAAGATATATATATATATTTTTAAGTGCATAAGATGCGCATTATGGAACTTAGAGGGAACTCTAAAGAAAATAACCTGGTCTTTCAGAAGCTTCCTTCCCAAGTGAGAGCAGATTGAAAATATTTACCAGCTATTCCTCTGCTGCAGTCAATTCCCATCAGATTTGTCCCACATACTGTAAAGATATATAGTGTCAAGCAGGTTTTGGCAAACATTTTCTGAAAGTAAATAAATAAAGCAAACGTTTCCTGTAAGTTGGTAGTAAATATGTTGGGCTGTGTGACCGTCCAGTCTCTGTCCCACTACTCAGCTCGGCTCAACTTTCCCTTGCACCACCAAAGCAGCCATTCACATCATATATAAACAAATGGCATGTCTGTGTTCCAATAAAACTTTATCTATAAAAACCTTTTTACAAAAGTGGAGTTTTCTGGAGACAGATGATGGTGATGGCTGCACAACAATGGGAAGGTACTTAATGTACTCAGCTGTACACTAAAAATAGTAAATTTTGTTATGTACAGTTTACCACAATGAAAAACAAACCAAAAAAAATAAATAAATAACACAAGACTGCCTACACGAAGTTCTTTTCCAACTGGTACACAAAATTCTTTCTGCCTAAAATCTCTGTGATCAAATGGCTCCCCTGAAACTAAAAGGCTTCCCAAACCTGGTGCATAAATACTTATAAAGATAGAATTTCTCTTCTACCAAACCTTTCTTTAAATATCCTGGAATATTTAAAGGTGTTTTTAGTCCTGGCCAGCAAGCTCAGTGGTTAGAGCATCAGCCTGCACGCTGGAGCATTCCGGGTTCAACTACCAGTAAAGGGCACGTACCTGGGTTGCAGATTCAACCCCACCCCAGTTGGGGTGTGTGCGGGAGGCAACCAATTAATGTGTCTCTCTCACATCGATGTTTGTCTCTCCCTCTCTCTCTCTCTTTCTTCTTATCTGCCTCTTTATATCTTCCACTCTCTCTAAAAATCAGTGAAAAAAATCCTCACTCCTGAAGTGAGGATAAAAAAAAGGGGGAGGGTTTAATTCTAACGTTATAAGCAACCTGAAGTGGTGTCAGCAGCTTTCACTATCCGGAACTGGGTTGGAGACCAGATGTTTAGAACCCACGACCTACAGCAGTGAGCGGGCCGCTCTCAAATATAACCTCCCTGACCAGCTGCCGACCTCTTAAAACAGTTACACACTAAATGAAATAATCGGGAAAGGTGCCTTCGGAGCACCGTCAGAGATCTGCCCACGGCCCCATGGAACTGCTGACTCCAATTTCATTTCTAGTTGTTTTCCTTCAAAACGTGCATTAACAGTTGTGTACGTGGTGGTTTCTTCTTCAGATTTGTAGTTATTTTCAATAAGATCCACTATTATGTCACACCTTCATTTTGCTCGGCGTTAGGTCTCTCCATGGACTCAGCCTGAGAAGGGAAGCTTTGGGGGACTGTGTGCTGTTTGCCAGAGGAGAGCCAACTGGATTCTTTCGGGTGCAGTCAGGGCTCGCTCTGCGCCCCACACGGTGATTAACTTCTTGTTCATCTGGTCCCTTCCCATTTGGCCTCTGCGCCTCGCTTTCAGCTTCCAACAAAGGATCTCATTGCTTCAGGAATCGGGGTGTGTCTGGGTTTTCACCAGGAGAAAAGTGATTCAGGCGTTTCTGGGGAGACCAATCCTCGGGCTGGGTGGGGAGGGACCGCATAACAGGCCGTGGCGGCTCCTGTGCAGGCACAGCCCCTGCGGATGGACAGGCGGGCAGACTGAGGCACACTCCGGATCTGCTCGCCAGGGATCGGCTCGCCAGGGATCCGCTCGCCAGGGACTCCACGCCATGGCTGGGCTCCGCTTCGGGGCCACAGGGCCTCTCGCCATTTTACTGGTAAGTCCCACTCCTCCTCCTAATAATCCTAATGATCGCAGCTTTCCCCGTTCCTCCCTCTCCTCTAAGGGACTATCGTATTTGATTGCTGAATCCCCACTACAAAGTCTAAGAGGGCACAGTGGGAACAAACATTTTAAAATGAAATTGCAAATCCCTCTTAGAAAGTCTAGAAGGGCACGTTGAAGTAACATTTTAATATGCAATGGCAATGATTACTCGTTTCTCCCATTTGCTGTGGGTTTGTTTTTTGGTTTTTTGTTTTTTTTCCATGTATTTTACATAGAAAACTAAACCACGGAGCCTTAACTGGCTTGGCTCAGTGGATAGAGCGCCGGCCTGTGGACTGAAGGGTCCCAGGTTCAATTCCAGTCAAGGGCATGTACCTTGGTTGCGGGCACATCCCCAGTGGGAGGTGTGCAGGAGGCAGCTGATCGATGTTTCTCTCTTATCAATGTTTCTAACTCTCTATCCCTCTCCCTTCCTCTCTGTAAAAAATCGATAATTTTTTTTTTAAACTAAGCCAGTGAGAAATTAATTTGAAAGTCGCCATTTAGCATTTCTTTAGTTAATGGATCAAATAACCCTGACCTCAGATGTATTTTCCGCAACACTGTCTCTTTCTTCAAAGTAATGTTTTTATTCGTCTTTTTGATGCACAAGCTGCAGCACATTAAAGAGAAGCAGGCCTGTTTCCCAAGGTTACATATCTGTGGAGCGTATGGCTCTGAATCATGCCTGGTCTTGCTACCTGACATGTTTTTCCAACAGTCAAGGACCGTTGAATTAAAATCAAAGCAACGCTTGATTCGAGAGCAGCTGCGAGGGTTATTGAGAAAACAGTGTGTCTGCTTAGTCATTCTGCGCGAAACAGGCCCTGCCTTCAGTGGAAACACTTGCGTTATTTTATCAGACACGTCGGAGACGGCATCTCCGCTGGGCGGGCCTCTTTCTAACCCAGAGGGCAGTGGGCTCCGCAGAGCAAAGGGCTGGCCGGGATGGAGCAGACCAGCTGTCCTGGCGGGGCGATTCCAGTGAAGGAGAGAGGCACAATATCATCAGTTACATGAAGACAACACAATTGTGAAATATATCACAGTGAAAATTTTTTAAAATCCCGAAGGCTAATTCTCCACTTTACAGATAATAAACTGGGCTAGTCCGGGCATCAGCTGCACTTGCCTCTTCGTCTATAACGTTGAGGTCATTGGACTTTAAGAGTGGCAGGAGACAGATTTCAGGAGGAACTTTCTGGACGGTAAATGTGTCCAAAATTAGAACAGCTGTTGTGGGAGCCAGGGGATCCCCAGCCCTAGCTCTCATGAGGTCGCTCTAGAAAACTGGCATCATGTTTTTTATGAGAGTCGTTTCTATTATGACAAAGTAGCTACAGTTGACCCTTGAACAGCATGGTCATGGGTTAAGGGGACACTGACCCCATGCAGTCAAAAATCTTTGTATAACTTTTGACTCGCCCTACCAATAACATAAACAGTCAATTAACACATATTTCATATGACATGTATATATAATACACCACATTTTTATGGAAAATTATAAGGAAGAGAAAATACATTTACAGTATTTATTGAAAAAAATTCCCATGCTGTTCAGAGGTGAACTGTAATTGTTTTGGTTATCTAATATATTTATTTGACCTAAGAATATTATAGAGAACTAGAGGCCTGGTGCACGAAATTCGTGTGTGAGAATTGAAGGTGTCTTTCAGCCCAGTCTGCAACTCTCAGGGGTTGTCTGACTGACTGTCAGGTTAGGCCCAGTCTCTGTGGGACACAGAATTGGATCCCCACAAGCTTAGGGAGCTCTTTCCTTCTTTGAGCTACATCCTCTGCCATCCCTCTGTTCTTCTGGTGTCTGTGAGAACCTCTTCCTGAAGGCTGTTTCATTCCTTGTCTTATCTCCAATGTCTACCCAGAATATCTGCTTACAGTGGGCACTCAATTGTTTGAAGAATGGGTAAATGAATAACTGAATAAGGCCCCTCTAAACTATAACTTCACACACACACACACACACACACAGCCTCTAAAATGCACTATGAAATGTTAAAACGTTTCTCTCCTTTCAAGAATATGTTAAACCCACACACAAAGCTATTTAAACAGCGATATAACTTTATACATAACTGTTAAACTGAGTGGTCTAGAACTGCTCTGTGCCACATGTGCCTACCAATCACTCGAAATGAGACTGGCCTGAGGTATAAAATATGCAGCACATTTTAAGGATTTATTAAGAAAAGGGGAATGGAAAACGTCATTAATAATGTTTATATTGCTTACACATTGACATGGCAGTATTTTGGATGTATCCGAGAAGACGTATGTTAAAACTAATATTACCTTCTCCAGTCCTTTCGAATATAACTATGAGGACATTTAAAATGACTCCTGGGCTCTCGTTACACTTCCACTGGACAGCGCTGGCCCGCTGACGCTGGCAGCGGAAGGCAGTGTCCGCCAGGAGAGAGGCCGGCAACGAGGCTCCGGGCCAGGGGAGATCTCACCGGCCGACGAGGGCGGGGATCTTTCCTTGTCAAACCGTGAGCAAAGGCAGGGGCGGCCTGACATGTGCCTGGGGACCACGGGCACGCTGGCTGGGCCGCATGACAGTGCGCTGGGCGTGTGGACATGAGCGGGAAGAGCAGAGGAGGGTCACGCTGAAAAGCACGTTCCGTGGAGGCTACTGGAACCCGCACAGAAGTGGGCGCCACCCAGTTTCGAAACAGCGCGGCGCTGGGAAAAGGGCAGTGTGTTCCCCAGCATTGTCTCCGGGGACGCGCATTCGTGGCGGAAGGGCGGGTCTGGAAGTGGGGAAACATGTTTGAGGCTCCGCACTCATTCCCATCCTGTGGCCACACCGGCTGCCTGGAGAGCAGCGAGGCACAGCCCTGGGCGCCTGCCCTGCTGACTCATCAGCCCCGGTGCCGCGGGCACACAGGAGGGACCCGAACCCCGGCCAGAGGCCTCCGCCAACAGGGCCCGAGCGAGGGGAACGGGGCTAGGAGAATGCCAAGAGCTTTCTAGGACGTGAGTGCCTCTCAGCTGCAACACGTCAGTAATTAGATGACTCTTGATAGCGGCTTACTATTCTGCCTTGCTGTTTACCAGTTTCCTGCGCTTGTCTGGTCCCTTTGTACAATACAGAATATGCATTTGGGGAAAGCCTCTGCGATTGAAAAATGCTTTCCTTCAGAGACTTCACATTCTGAAAACATTGGTCTTCAAGAGGCACATTGTTCGGTGCTTTATAGTCCACAGATATAACACCCCTGTTACCATCTGGACAATGAGCGCTTCAATTTTATGCTTCTATGTTACATACAGTTTACTCATCACAAAACTAACTGAGATGTCTGAAACACAAATATCTCCAGAGCACAACGTGTAAAGCAAGTGGTGGTAGGCTGGAGAAAAGCAGAGAGAAGTCATTTAAACATCAGGTTCTGAGAGAATGCGGTCCAAACACAGAGAAATGACCTCCAACCACCTTCTTTAACAGAATATCCAGAGTCAACTTTTGGGAAAAAACTGTAAGCTAAATGGCCCCAGTCTTTAACAGAAGGAAAATCTTTGAGGTGTCTCTTCTCCTCGTGACTGATGAGACAATCTGATTTCCAATGCTAATACATGTATGGAAATCAGTTTTCCCCGGTCCTCTCTTCTGGTTAAGAGCCAAAATCAGAATAACCCTGCCAGGCAATGCTGGCAACCCCGCCCGACGTGAGCGGAAGGCGGGAGAGGTGTGATTGTTTCTGTTAATCTCCACTCCCGCTGACCTAACCCTGAAGCTCCTCTTCCTTTGGGACCCAACCCTCAGTTCCCAGCAACTGTCCCCACCCTCCAGCCTCTTCCTGTCTGTCAGGAGTCACCCGAGGGCCTCAGGTGAGGGCTCGCTGTGCAGAGTCCTCACAAGAGAAGCACAGGGTGTCCCCAGAAGGTGTGCACTGTACCAGCTGATGGCTCAGATTTGGGAAGTGAAGTGCATTTTAATAAACACTGCCTTCACAATTGCTCAAACTGTGTGTGTCCACTTTGGGGGGGCGCCCTGGGTACAGGTGCTTGGTTACTATCGCTGAGAACACTGTGAATAACTGAACCTGTCTAAGGAGCCCGCTGTCTCGCATGGCAGCTGTGCAGCTGGCCGGGCTGTGCGGGACACGGTTCCAGGAGGTGCATTCACTTCAGCCCCAATGTCAGCAGGTCCCCTGGAGCTGGGCAAGGAACGAGCTACACAACTGGACAGAGCGCTGGCTCCTGTCGCTTTCTAACGCTCAAAAAGGGGGAAATTCTTATGTGCGTTGGTGTGGGCAGCAATGATAAGAGGGCACTTCATGCCCAAGAGGCTCTTTTATACCTTTTTGTTTAAGTTCGGGGACACAAGTGATTAACACGTGCTAAGCACGTAAGTCCTAGTAGGCTAGAGTTCATCTATGCGCTCTACACTTGTGAATTCACTGAATCCTCACAAGAAACCTACGAAGTAAGGAGAAATGCTGTCCCTATTTTACAGATGAGGAAACTGAAAAATTAAGTAATGTTTCCAAGTTATACAGCTGGTCCACTGAGACTGGGATTTAACTCAGGGATTCAGGATCCAGGGTCCAGTTTTTTTATTACTACACTTGACTGCAACTTAGGCAGCAACTAAAGTGAGCATCTGAGAATATCCACAGGTATTTGTTTTAATTAGCATCTCTATCATGATACAAGGTTTGACTTTCTAAATTAATTGAGTGTACTCTAAAACTCAGTTACTGAAATTTAAATGTCCAAAATTAAATAAGAATTTCCAAGGAAATAAACATGCCATTTTTGTTCAAGTAAGAAATTTGACTTGATGAATACAGAGTTTATTAGAATTTTTAAGGGGGATTAAATTTCTATTTTAAAAAGGATAGATAGATAGGAGATGATGAAAGATAAATCATTCATGTCTTCTGAATTGTACATATGCAATTTATTCATCAAACATTACTGATGACCTCTATGGCCTGACACATTAATAATCACTTCATCTGACCAATTATAGAAATGAAATCACCAACATATATATAATGACTTTATTCCCACAAATAATTAAATGCCAACATGTTTAAAAATTGAAATGATTTCTTTGAATTACTTAATTCAGCTTCAAATTTCCCAGAGGGGAGTGGGTGAGGCCCTTTCTTATACCCATTCTAGAGATGAGAAAGGTTTCTATGCCCCAGGCCAGCTGGGAGCAGCTCCATGAATCCAATGCATAGTCTAAATGTCTATCCCTCCCACACAAAAGCTTGAAGTAACTCCAAATAAAATGATAGCCAAACCAAGTAAAGTAGCAGTTATTAAAATACCTTCAAAATGTATTCATTGTGTATCTACCTTATACATACAAACCTTTATGATCCTATATATAAATATGCTAATGTGATCCTAATACGCCAAGTGTCCGGCCATCTGATCAGCCATTCAATCAATCAAAGCATAATATGCTAATGATATGCTAAGGTTGCTCAACCACTCACTATGATGTGCACTGACCACCAGGGAACAGATGCTCCATTGGTAGGTTAGCTTGCTGCTAGGGTCAGACATGCCCTGGAACCCTCCCACAGTTCGTCCCCTGGAGCCCTCCCACAGTCCCTCCCAGGCTGACCAACCTCCCACATCCCTCCCCAGCCCTGATCATGGGGTCCCTCTGCCTGGCTTGCACCCTCCGTGATCCAAGTGCATGAATTTCACTCACCAGGCCTCTAGTATAACTACATACATTTTAATTATCAAATGGGGGTTATAGATATCAAATCAGTTTATTTCATATTTTATAAATTTAATACTTTAATTTGATGTTAATAAAATATTTCTAATTCTTAGCTATACCAAAGTATTTCTGCCATGTCAATGTTTCAAAAACCACCTAATCAAAATTATCAAAATAACCAGGAACCAAGAGGAAGAAGGAAAAGTGTAGGGAATCCCAAGATAAGAAGTGCTTTCTCCACACTGATATGTCCAGTTCAGGTAGAGAGACAACTTAGCTGGTTTATGTTGTCAGGAAACTACTGAAATAGTAATTAAATGTTGACAATAAATAGATTAGCAAATTAACTAAAATAATCAAGTAGCCACAGAGATGTACTAACTAAAATAATTAAGTTTTTTAAAACACAATTCTAAATAATGTAAGGCTACAATTATATTTCCAAATGTCTAAAGAGCATTTTCAAAACTTAGAAGTGTTTCTTATTAGCTACCCCTTATTCCTAGAAGAGCAAAAATAATCACAGTTTCACAATACCACCTAGAATTAGGGAACACTCTTGATTTAAAAGAGAGGATGCACAAGAGTCAAGGTTTAGACTAAGTAACTTCTCTAAGGACTCTCATTCTGTGAAAAGATTGACTAATGTACATCCTCCGTAGTTCAGGGTCTGTCCTTCCTATGCGGTCCAAGAACACAGGACTTGTACTTCAGTGACTATTAGAAACACCATGCTCGGTGGGGCTAGTGCGAACATATTCATATTTGCTGGATGATTCTTCCCAGTTTTCCGGTAAAGGGAGTGTGTGTGTGGCCTTCCTCCTTGAGACGGGACAGTGCAGTTCCCACAGTGCTCTGGCCTGCTCTCCCCCATTATACCTGAGAGCGCTGAGTGAAGAGCAGCAGAGCTGTGCCTGCCGTCCCAATATGCACTGGTTCTTCCCGTGGCCATGTGGACACACACCCTTGGAAATAAAGAGTTCGATGAAATATGTGGAATGGAAAGGTCCTGCATCCCATGTCCGATAGAGTTACTCCTTTGGTTCAGACTCGGACTTACCTCTTTATGATAATCTCCCCAAATAAACAAATAAATCTGTATCATTTCAGGAGTAACCTCATTCTTTGCCAAGAAGACAATCTGAATTGACTATGATAAAACTTTCTCTCTACCCATGGCTTTTATTTATCTACTTATGCCTTCCTTGGCTAGAATCCCCTGTGGCGGTGATGTACACACTTTGGAGTCAGCTGCCAAGGTTCAAGTCCTGGCTGTAGGGGGTCCGTTAGCTGGAGCCAAGTGCTCCCGCTCCTGGGTCTCCACCTCTTGGTCCACAATAAAAGGGATTACAACAACAAGCTCATTTCGACGGCTCTCTAAGTATTAAGATAATAAATACAAAGCTCTATGCATAGCATCCGACGTGAAACCATAATAAATACTAGCTACTACTATTACTTTCACTTTTTCTTCTTATTTATTTTGCACAATCTTTCTCCTACCGAATGACCTTCAGATCACGTGATCAGTGGATTAACAAATAGTTGTGAAACATCGACGGAGGAACAGCTATTGTAAGGGTTGCAAGTAATAATAATAACGTAGAAGCAGTGATCGGGCAAATTTACAGTTCTCTTGGGTTAGCACCACAATGTACATAAAACGATTAAGAAATGATAAATCAAGGCCAACCGTTCTGGGCTAAATTGCATAGTAGTTCAGAATAAGGGTTGCACACGCTTAGAAAAGGAGGCTCAGTAAAAACAGCTGCATGGACATTGTTAGAATTTGAATTGATCTTAAAGGGTGAGTAATGCTTACGGGGTGGAAGGGGAAAAGGGATGCATTCTAGGCAGAACAGAAGAGGAAAAAGACAGAGCTGAAGGTCCCGGGTGCTCTAGAGAAAGTAGACCCTCGCCTGCCTGCCTTCACATTTATCGTCATGTATTTCAGATGAATAAGAAAATTAAGCTCAATCTTTACATGGAGTAGGGCAAAGATGAGCAGCTCTGTGTGCCCCAGCAAGCAGTTCTGTGTTTAGAATAGCCCAGTGGTCGGCAAACTCATTAGTCAACAGAGCCAAATATCAACAGTACAAAGATTGAAACTTCTTGTGAGAGCCACATTTTTTTAACTTAAACTTCTTCTAACGCCACTTCTTCAAAATAGACTCGCCCAGGTCGTGGTATTTTGTGGAAGAGCCACACTCAAGGGGCCAACGAGCTGCATATAGCTCGCGAGCCTCAGTTTGCCAACCATTGGAATAGCCTAACCCCATCTCCTATGTTCCATTCTCTAAACCAGACTAGTTCCATTCGTTATGTCCACTCTTGAACAACTAAAAAAAAAAAAAAAATGCCTCACTCTGTAGCTCACTGATACAGAACTGCCTCACTAGTATAGGTACCAGTCAGCTGGGTAGATCATGGCTTTCAATAACCGCCCATGAACCTGACGAGTTTATCACAATGATGATTGCCATTGTTTGCCAAAGCAACAATTTCCATATCTCCTGGGAAGTATTTGCAGAAGAGCCAGATTTGGAATGCCTGGTTACTATAACAGCTGTTAAAAAAGAGATTTCAAAATACAATAGATTCCTCTGAATATCTTTACAATTCTGCAGTCAGAGTACAGAACTGGAAGAATTTGTTTATATGTAGAACATTTTCTTTTTCTTGAGATTTTATTCTTTGAATCAAAATTTTTTTCAAAAATAGAAACAAACTATATTATGAACAGCAGAATGTAAATATTGGGATTATTATCTTAAGTAGTTAGTACTTATTTGAAAAATTCACATTTAATTTTACTTTATTTAAATATCCACAGGTGGTCCTATTGGTTCATGGAGAAATGAGAATAGAGGTAAAGTATGAAAAGCTTTTTGTAACTAAAATAATAGTTCCATTAAAAAAATTAAAACTGTGTTCAGGAAAACAAATATTAAATGTTTTAAATTATTTAACAATTAAAATGTGAAAATTCTAACAACTAATCCGATAATACTTAAATACCAGCAATGTGTGTTATTAATGTAATTTATCTCAGGCATTGTTTTTTCTTCTGTTAAATCAACAGGTTTTAATGAGACAGGGCCTATTTTGTTAAGATAATAGTTAAGATATTGTAGAATATGTGGGGAGAATATAAAATATGATTAAATGCTATCTTAAAAATCACATTGCAAAAAGCTCTGAGCAAAAAGCTCTTTTAGTTATTAATGTTTCTTCTTTGACCAAGTCTGAGATAGAGCAATGTAGACATCTAACAGCCTTAGATATTCTGAAACGTAGGGGGCTCCTCAGCCTGTGTGTCTACAATCAATTCCCAAAGCAACAATGTCCCACATGTTCATGCCAAACGGAACCTCTTTTTCCATAGACGAAGGGGCAGCCCGGAGGAAATGGGACAGTGGTCCACGGCAAGAGGAGACATAAACGGGAATGGGTGAAATTTGCAAGACCCTGCAGAGAAGAGGAAGACAACTCCAAAAGGAACCCCATTGCCCAAGTAAGTCACCGGAGCAGTGAGAGTTTTCAGAACAAATGGGTTCGATGTAAATTAAAATAATATGTCAGCTCCAGTTAGCAAGATGCAGACGGAGCCCACAGAACAAGTAACCTGATGTCTACAACCAAAAAGAAGTCATCATCATCATCATCATAATAGACAAAGATGCAGGAACTATGGTCTGTAGAGTAATAAAAGAATAATTAAAAGACTTGGACCAATTTCAATGGATAAGCCTTATTTAGATCCAGATTCTAGCCAACAGAAAAAAATACGTGGTTAAGACAATTATAAAAATGGCTGGGAGCCAACCCTGAATTGACCATGTATTCTTAATCACTGGAACTGGATGATAAAATATATCAGGTTCATTACACTATTCTAACTCTATATCTCTCTGGACTTTTCCACACAAAAAGCTATAAAATTAGGCTAAAGAGCAATACATTTTAATACTTACTATATAAACCTTTCTCTTTTTTCTCTCCAGCTCTCCCTATTTAAACTGAAATAAATGTTAACTGTTAAGAAAGGGAGCATTCAGAAGAAGCCTCTCTGACTTTCTCTCAATCTTTTAACATCACCAAGGTGGCCACAATCTAAGCAAATGTTCTAAAGCCAAAATGATTAATGTATATTGATCCATACTGGTCAACAGAAGCAACAATTTATGTCATATTTCTAGGTAAAAAGTAAACAGCACAGTGTCAGAAAGGGAAAATAAATGGACAGATGACTTAAGACTATAGCTGTGGAGAAAGGGGGGAAGGAAAAAGACTGAGTAATGATCATCTTAACATTTTGGTATTTTTTGCTGCAGATTAGTTCAGATTTCCATGTAAATCAGAAAATTTCCTACCGCATTACTGGAATCGGAGTTGATCAGCCCCCTCTGGGAATCTTTGTGGTTGACAGAACTACTGGGGATATTAACATAACGTCCATAGTTGATCGTGAGAAAACCCCACATTTCCACGTAAGTAGTGTCTTCACTATTGGGCGCCCTTGTCCCCTCAGGCATCATAGCTAGAAGATGATACTCTTGTATTGGTTAACTGAGAGGAGTTATCAGTGCACAAATCAATCCACCAACAAATAACATTAGTCACTCGACAAAGAGCCTCCACTCATGGTCATGCCCCTGAAGGCTATGCCAGGAGGGGCATGCCTGCCAGACTCCAGATGCAGCCTGCCAAGAGCTTCGCTGCCAGGAGCCAGGATGAGTCTGGAGAAAGGGGCAACTAACTCAGATGGGGCCCTTTTCCTGCTTTGTCTACTCCGTGAGGAAATGCTTTTCTCCTTGGCATGAAAGTTCTATCCATGCCAGCGCAGGCTGCTAGTGTGCAAATTAAGCTTGTTGGGTGAGAATGAACATTTTCCCTTTTTTTCTAGATCACATGCCATGCGCTAAATGCCTATGGACAAGATGTAGAGAAGCCACTTGTATTAACGGTCAAAATTTTAGACATCAATGACAACCCTCCGGTGTTTTCACAAGATATATTCATGGGCGAAATTGAAGAAAACAGCCCTGCAAGTAAGTCTTTTTACAGTACCTACCACTGCTTGTTTTTTTTAATTTTCAAATACAAGTATCCCGATAGCACATCATTTTTATAAGCTAGTAATTTATTCTTAGTTTCATCAGTTTTCCAGAAAAACTGATGAAGATAGCCTAAATCTTCTTGCTGATATGTGTAGTTGAACTGATGCCTCACGGCCATTGTACTTCGCTCTGTAATGAGGCCAGGAGTATCTTATTCTACACATACAAGTTACGTGAGTGCCCAGTAGCCACAAAGCTAAGGAGGGCCTTAGGTCGCCTGCAGCACCAGCAGGGCTTTCTGAGGTTATAAGGCACGGGACACTCCCACCTCACCTGAATCATCTGGGGCAAAGAGAGAACCAAAGAGCCATTCATCCAGGGAAGACAGAAAGCCTCTGCCCACACAGCCACGGCTGCCGGGGACTGGGCTGGAGGAGAGGTAGCGCGGTTCTGCTGATGAAGACAGAGCCAGTGGCGTGTCATATTTTTAGCATAACATAGGTGTAAGGCCTTAAAAAGCAAGCATTGGTTTGAAATTGAGTGGCGTAAATAATGTGAACAGAGCACCAATGGCTCCGTATTCTTTAATGAACCGCTCCCTTCCAGACTCGCTGGTGATGATCCTGAACGCCACGGACGCCGATGAGCCCAACCACCTGAACTCAAGAATTGCCTTCAAGATCGTCTCCCAGGAGCCCGCGGGCGCCCCCATGTTCCTCATGAGCAGACACAGCGGCGAGGTCCGCACTCTGACCAGCTCTCTGGATCGGGAGGTAAAGCGAGGCCTCGGGAGCCACTAAAGCAAGGGCTTTGTTTAAGAAAGCCGAAAGGAAGGGGTTCTGTCTTAGCAGAGAATGAGAAGGGAGAGGAAGACAGGTCCCCAGGACTCACTGGGCCAATCTAGGGAAACTGTCTGCCCCCAATGTGATTCCGGGGGTAGGGTGGGGGGGTATGGGGGTGCCTGGCACCTGCACAGTCAGTCCTCCAGCAACAGCCGGAGACCACCATGGGCGCTCCGGACAGGGTGAGGAAGGCGTGCCTACAAGGGCAGGCCAACTGTGATTCATTCCTCATGCGATGGAGGAAAAGCAAAAAATGTCTCTCAGGAGAGCCTTCTCAGATGGCACACTTCTTCTCCTGACTCCTTTTCTTGTTATCCCGCTCCCAGAACACTAAAGACTCTCCTTCTCTCTCCCCATCATCCTGCCACCACCGGCCACCACCACACGCTGCCCCACACAGTCCCTATCACTGTTGTGCGCATGGTTTTCTGAATAGACCGCCAGGAAAAAACTGCAAGTGAGCTCCCCTCCCATAAGCATCCACCACCACCACCGCCATGTTTGTTCCCAGTGTCCTTTCTTGCCCTACGCAGTTCCCAAAAGAGAAAATCTGTCCTCGCCTCTTAGAGAGCCTCTCACACTCTCAGTGATGGACAGTAGACGGTGCACGTGCTCCACGAAAGCATGAGCTGGAACGCCTGCCCTCCTCACGCACGGGAAGCAGGTAGTTGTCCTTCGTATCCTCGGCACTGGAGTTAATCCATTTCCTTTCCTGACTCCAAACGCAGCAAGTGAGCAGCTATCATCTCATCGTGAGCGGCGCAGACCAAGACGGAGAGGGGTTATCAAGCCAGTGTCAGAGCAGCATCAAAGTGAAGGATGTCAACGACAACTTCCCAATGTTCAAGGAATCTCAGGTAGACCCTTCACGCCTCAAGAATCATCTTTACATATATATATATATATATATATATATATATATATATATATATAAATTATTATTATTATTATTATTATTATTATTATTATTATATGTCGCCACCCTAATTCAGTATGTGTCTGCTTGCTGGCTTCTAGTTAGGTTCTCCGCACTTTTCTCTAAAAAAATAGCTTTTGTAAAATATAGGAATTTAGGCAAGGAGGCAATACACAATCTGAGAATTAATGATGAAGGCCAGTCAGAATAAACATAACCCCTTCGACGGAACCTGACACTGAATCTTAAATTCTGCTTCTCTCCTTTGTAGTATTCAGCGAGTATTAAGGAAAACTCTTTGAGTTCGGAATTACTTCGATTTCAAGTAATAGATTTGGACGAAGAGTTCACAGACAATTGGCTGGCGGAGTATTTCTTTACCTCTGGCAACGAAGGGAATTGGTTTGAGATACAAACTGATGCCAGGACTAACGAAGGCATCCTGAAGGTGGTTAAGGTAAGGTCTTGATTCCCTTTGGTGGCTAACATACTCTCTATTAGCCAAACTATCATTTCTACAAGTAAACGTTATGCACGTATTAATCATGCCACTTCTTTCTAGAAAACACATAAAAGTAAGTCAAATTTTTTAAAGACACACACATAGCCCCATTACCTAAAGACAGCCTTTTTAACGTGTTGATTTATTTCCTTACAAAGTAATATACTGTCTGTAGAAAAACACAAATAAACACACACACACACACACACACACACACACACACACGCTTGATTTAAGCACAAGACAAGTAAAACACATTTCTTGACTTAATCTCATTTCCCCTCTCCAATTGAAGTTAGCAAGAGATACAAACACATGGACTTGTGGCTTTTGAATGTGTCAATTTATTGTAATTGGACTAGCCAGTCAAAGAGGAAAAGAGGCAAGTTTCTCTAGAAAATGGGCAAGTATAATTAATGCTGCAAGATGGAAAATGGGTGAGCAAAGCATCCATTTAACATGTTTGGCAGTCATTGCAAAGTTAAAATTCAATCCAGATCTCTTCCTATAATTATTTCAGGAATGCACAGATGTAACCCAAAGGAGCATGTCCTTATCTCACCCCCCTCATGAAATTTACTAGGAAGGCTATGCTAGGGTTCCGCAGGCCTTGGTCTGGGCCAACCCCACAGCAGGTCAAATCGTTCTCATGCAAGACCGTCCGCAAATAGGTCTATGAAGAGCCACCCACACACTGCTCTATGAGGCCTCTTTGCCAGCCCCGTTTACAACGCCAGTCTGCCTTTGCCACCTGCGAAGTTTAAAATCAGAAAAGACACCATTGCACATGAATCCAGCGGCTGTTCTGTGAGTGACCAGGGCTGCCATTTAGAGGAATGTGTTACAGGCCTTAGAGAGGGAAACACAGAGGAACATGACGTGAGAGAAACACATCGACACACAGATTGGTTGCCTCCGATCAGGGCCAAGGCCCAAGGAGCCTGCAACAAAGGTACGTGCCCAAGACTGGGATTGAGCCCAGGACCTTTTGGTCTGCAGGCAGATGTTCTTTCCACTGAGCCAATCCGGCTAGGGCGGGGTTTTTTTTCTGGAAGTGGGAAGTTGAGGATCAGAGATATGAAATACTGTCCCGAGTCACACAGATTGTAAGTACAGAACCGGGATTCAAACCAGGCTGTCACAACATGGATGGGTTCTGTCCTCTGCACCACGTTGCCTAAAATGACATTTGCTAATACCGCTCTGTGAGTTTGCGCTGAGCTTACATGATTAAGAATCCCAAAGGTCTCTCTATCTCAACCTTACAATGATCTCTGAAATCATTTTGCTACATCGGTTTCTATTCATAGAAATCAGAATCTCCATTAGAGTTCTCTTGTCCTCTTCTGGGTTTGCCAAACCATATTTCTTTGACACTTTTCTTCTAATTTTATATTTATTCCAGCCCCTAGATTATGAACAACTACAAAATGCACACTTTAGTATCGCCGTCAAAAACAAAGCTGAATTTCACCGATCTGTAATCTCTCAATATCGAATCCAGTCAACCCAAGTCAAGGTTCAAGTTATAAACGTGCAAGAAGGAATTGCATTCCGCCCTGCTTCCAAGACGTTTACTGTCCAGAAAGGCATAAGTAGGAAAAGGTTGATCAATTATATCCTGGGAACGTATGCAGCCTTTGATGAAGAAGCTAACAAAATTGCTTCAAATGTCAGGTACGATTACTTCAATGACATCTTATTATTCCTTGACTTCATATTAATCTATAAATTATTATACCCAGCCAGTGTGTCCCAGTGGTTGAGCGTCAACCTATGAACCACGAGGTCACGGTTCAATTCCCACTCAGAGCACATGCACTGGTTCCCCAGTGTTAAAATGAATAAGTAACATCCAAACTATTATATGGAGAGAATACAGCGATATACAAAGGTGGCCAACTCAATGAGCTGCTAACTGGAGGAGAGATAAGTAGTGGAATCATTAGACAATATTGTATTATGAGCAAAGATAATATAAGTTAAAGTGGAAACTAAAAGAAAAGTGCTTCAGCCTGCCTAGAGAGGTCAGAATAATGGTTTGCAGAAACTTTCAATTGAGTCTTAAAGAGCAGAAGTTCACCAGAAGGCTGTGGTGCAATAAGACGGAACAGTGTCTACAAAGACAGACACATACACCTAAAATCCAAGAGCACGTGCAAAACTCTGTAGTGTAAAGAGTAAGGACACGGGTTATTGCACAGAGCATAAATTAGAAAAACCCAGGGGAACACATCTTAAGGGTTATAAAATACTGTTTGTCCATGCTATTTTGTTAACTTTCTGCAGCTTTTCAGAAAAGCATATTTCAATGTCTTATATTCAAAACAAATACATTAAATATAAATGGGTCATTTTCATTAAGTAGGTAACATTCCATATTTGAAAGGAAACTATTACCTTTTTCTATTTTAAAACAGATATGCCCTCGGACGGAATGATGGTGGTTTTCTAATTATTGACTCAAAAACGGCTGAAATCAGATTTGCCAAAAACATGGCTCGGGATTCTTCTACTTTCATAGGTAACAGGACAATCATAGCAGAGGTTCTAGCCATCGATGGTAAGAAAAATATTTCAATCTTATTTAGAGAAATGTTCCTTCAATTGCATTTAGTTACAAATAGAACATTAGATCAATGATTGTAGGTTCTTGGGTCTCAGGTCCGAAGCAACTGAAGTTAGAAGGCTAGCATTCCAACATCTCAGTGGCCTTTGTAGCATCAGTGAATTCTGTGTTCTGTCCTGTGGTTTGCTTATGGTTGGGACAAGGATTTTTAGACCCACCAGAATTTCCGGTTTTGAGAAGGATGGATAAAGATTGATGCTGAATGCCTACAAGGGAAGCTCAGCTCCAATGGGAGGTGCCTTTATGAATTACTCATACAATGAGTTCCAAATAATTTATAGATTAATGACATAACCTCATTGCTTATGTCATTAAGCAATAAAATCTTCTGAAATGTTTTAAAAATATTATTCATGAACTTTGTATGTGTGTGTCCACAAGTATAAAATTAGCTTATGCTCAAGGCAATAAAGTTAAAATGAAAGAATAAACACCAAATTCACATCATCTGAGAAAATAGCAAAAAGCACAGAGGGAAAAAATATAGAAAGATTCAAGCCCACCACTGCTAGATTTCGTTTAATGTTTTTGATTGTTGACATATTAAATTTTTTTCAATTGTATTTTATATCTTAGGTAACAAAAATAAATCAATTCTTATTTCAAATACTTCAGCCCCAATTTTAGAAGTAAAAATCTTTCACACAGTGCTGGGATCATGAAGTGAATACACTGAAGAAAACTATTATTTTTATGTTGATTTCATTAGTAGTCAGTGAGTTCATCCCCTTACAGGTCTTGGTCCCAAGCATATTAAATTAATAGCCAATGCTATGAAACAGATACCAGCCAAGTTAAATATCTTTTTACAAGAGGCAGAAATTGTAGGTCATTTCTACTGTAAGAATAACAAATATAATCTCTCATGAGAAGACACACTAACTTGGCTGCATGCAGGAAACACAAGGTTCATTTTTGTGTGTTTATATTTTTTTCATCTTTATCGTTGAAAGTATTGCGTATGTCCCCTCACTCCCCATATCGACTCTTCTAGCCTGCTTGTTCTGAATATCTTTTTAACTCTAACATGCTGTTCTTACAGAAAAAACAGGGAAGACGTCTACGGGCACCATCTACGTTGATGTGCCTGGTTTTAATGAAAATTGCCCGACAACGGTCCTGGCACAGGAAAGGATCTGCAGCTCATCACCTTCTGTGGCTGTCTCTGCAAGAGCGCAGGACAGCGGGAGAGACACTGGCCCCTACGTGTTCTCCCTGGAGGATGATGTAAAGCTGCCGGCTGTGTGGCGGATCACAACCATTAACGGTGAGTAGCAGTGCAGCTGGACCACCGAGGAAAGCTCCGGAGGATGAGAGCGCTCCTGTGGAGCAGATTCTTTCCAGGAGCAATTGAAAAAAAATCAGTGCAACGAAGATGGAGCTCTCGCCTCAGGAATTTCTTCTCTTAGGCAGAAGAAAGAAATGCTATGAGATTATGTTAGCACTGTTTAATATTTCCTGTTTTCCATGTGGACTCCAATTTTTATTTTTATATATTACTAGAGGCCCACTGCACAAAATTCGTGCATGGGGAGGGGGAGGGTCCCTTAGCCCAGCCTGCACCCTCTCCAATCTGGGACCCCTCGAGGGATATCGTTCTCACAATCCAGGATTGCTGGCTCCCAACTGCTCACCTGCCTGCCTTCCTGATTGCCCCTAACCACTTCTGCCTGCCAGTCTGATCACCCCCTGCCAGCCTGATTGATGTCTAACTGCTCCCCTGCCAGCCTGATTGCCCCTAACTGTCTTCCCCTGCTGGCCTGGTCACCCCTAACTGCCCTCCCCTGCAGGCTTCATCGCCCCCAACTGCCCTCCCTTGCAAGGCTGGCCCTTCCAACTGCCCTTCCCTGCTGGCCTGATCACCCACAACTGCCTTCCCTTGCAGGCCTGGTCCCTCCAAACTGCCCTCCCCTGCTGGCCATCTTGTGGCAGCCATCTTGAGTTCATATGGGGGCAGGATCTTTGACCACATGGGGACAGCCAACTTGAGTGTTAGAGTGACAGTCAATTGCATATTACTCTTTTATTAGATAGGATTTCTACTTTCAGAGCCCACCAAAAGAAGATTAGTCAGGCCCCTATTGTACTGCAGAGCTGTTTAGGTTTCTGAATACATAAAGGCTTCTCTCTGGGCAGGCTGTGGGCAGAGAGGATGCACTAGAGGGCCAGCCTGCTCAGGGCTCATAGGAAGAGCTCCTTAGAAGAGTTGCAAGTCAGGAATCCCAAGCACGGGTGAATAGAAACCTGCAAACCCATTCGCCAATGGCAATGAGCTAATCCATCCTTCCTTTTCTTCTGGCCTTTTCCACGTTAAGCTTACATTTCCTATCTTTGCCAGGAGTCTCAGAGAAACAGCCACCAGACTTGATAAGAATCTCCTCCCTTCCCAAATTCTATAGTGACCATCTCAAGTCTATAGGCCACCTCAAATCTCTTATAAATGAACTCACTTTACTCTCACTTCTTTCTGAACCAACCTTGCTCCCTGTTATAAATGTGCTCTGTGGGGCCCTCGTCCTAGGTGTCCATCACTGCTAGGTCCCCAAAGGGATCTTGCTCTCCATGGCCTTCTTTCCTGGGGTCTTACTGACCTGGGGTAAGATTTTGGCTCTAAATGGAGCACGTAGCATTTAGCTCTAAATAGGTTTACCAGGCACACGGCCAATGGAAAGGCTGCAAAAGATACACCTGACTGGGTGAGGTGGGGCTGGACAACTGTGATTGAACTGGGTGGACCAGGGGTAATGGCAGAGGGCATGATGGAGTCAAGAACTGAAACTAAAACAAAATGATATTGAGTGTAAAATAAATAAGTTACTTAATAAATAAGGCCTGGCAGAAGCAGCACAGACCTGTAGCCCCTGAGAGCTGCTGCCGGAGCCCACTCGGAAAGGGAGGACATAGCAATGGAAAATGGAGAGCAATCAATGCTCACAAGTCAGCTAGACAATGGCCTTCACCACAGGGAACCCCATACAGCCAGCTCCAGGCTCAGGAGATCAGGACTGCCAGAGGCAGCTGAGGTAGCCTCAGCCACAGCAGAAACTCAGTCTTAGTAAGTCAGACACCAAGACATGGGTTGAGGCAAGAGGGATGCTGTCACGGTGTTACAGGAAGGGGACCTGGCCCTTGGCCTCGGGCAGCCGATAGTGTGTGGGTTCTTGACCTCCTGCAGGAAAATTTCACAACACACGCTCAGATGACGATGAGGGAATACTTGCTCAAGTTGGAGTCATAAAACAAGACAGGACTTGGCTTAGAAGAAGCAACAGGAGCTGGGCTGGGCTGCCCTAACTCTCAGGGAGTCAAAGAAAAGGGAGCCTTGGGGTCAGGTTCAGGGGTTAGCCTGGGACGAGCTGCTGCTTCCCATTGCTCCCCTGGTTGCAAGCCTTGTGGGGTCCTTTAGGGTTTGCGAGATGCGTGCCTGTGGGGGAGGAAGCGGGGGAAGAAGAGGGAAGGGGAATGTCGGGACAGGGGGAGGTTCCCTGTAGGGAGAGCACACGCTGAGTCCTTTGTCAGGGGACTTTGTCTCTTTCCTGCAGGCAGGAATCTTAGGAAAGGCCTCAAGGGAAGGTTTCAGCACAACTAATCCATTTTCTAGGTTCAGGGTCATGGTCTCCACCGCTTGGTCAGGTCAGGGCGGGGGCTGGCCAGTCATCGCAGCAGGTCCTGGTGTCACCCACCTGGCGTGGCTGCTTTTCTGGGCCTGAAGCTGAAATGCACGGAGGCCCAGTGTTTATCTCAGGGAGGTGACCATCTGCACCGGCTGTAAATTGTCCGCCGGTTGGTCCAGCTCTGGTTTGTTTCCCTGCTCCAAGTCCTGGCTTCCCGCCTGTCTCCCGGAGGGCCACCACGAATCAAGGAGTTGGCATAGGTAGACATGCAGGAGTGGGGGCGCCCCAGGAGAGGGACCTGGGGTTTAAAGGTGCCTGCGCCCCTCTTCTTTGTGGGGACATTCAGGGTAGGACCGAGTCTTTATGGGGGACCCCTCTGGGACCAGGAGGATATGTAGCCCGATTTACCCAGCCCAATCCCTGCAGCCTCATACCTGCTCAAATCTCACCCGGCCAGGAGCCTCATTGTTCACAACAGTGACGTCGACGGAACTCTGGCTGTGAACAAGACAAGGCACTGTCCCTCTGTGATCTGTGTGGTTATTTCTCCGCAGCCACCGCTGCGATGCTGAGCGCCCAGGCGCCGCTGCCCCCCGGGATGTACCCCATCTCCCTCGTGATCACAGACAGACAAAACCAGCAGTGCGACACTCCCGACAACCTGGCTGTGGAGGTGTGTCAGTGTGACAACAGGGACACCTGTAGAGCAGTCCCCCAGCCCGGGCCCCGGTATGGAGACCAGCCATCGGGGAGGCTGGGGCCCGACGCCATCGGCCTGCTCCTGCTTGGCCTTCTGATGCTGCTGCGTGAGTACCCCCACGCTTCCTCTGTTTCTCCCAGGGGCGGGGGGGGTCGCATTGCAGAAGCCCTTGCACTGCGTGGTGATGCATGTTTGCGACACAGAAGACATGTTCCCTCCTGTCACAGGCAAACCCGGGGGAATGTCATTCCCAGGAAGAATCCGCAATGTTTAAAGTGCCACTTGCCAATAATCTGTATTCATACCCAGCCAAGCAGGTCAGATATGTGAATCGTAATCTATAGTCATAAATGGTAGGCATTAGCATAAGGCAGAAGCAAGTAATAAATGCTAGACTTTTAGAAAAAAGCATGAGAGAATCAAGATGGGGGAAATAGTAGTCATAATCAAAACAATGACTTTATCCATGAGAGAGACACTTCCTAAAATGTTTTCGCCATATCCAAGTCTCATGAGGTTCTGAAGTAAAGAGAGCCTTGGACAAATAAATTTTGGAAATCATGGGCTTTGTGCTTTACAGCACACATTAACATATCACAGGCTCCGAGACGTCACTGCGTAACCCAACCCTTCCTCCGAACAGCTCACCGCCTCAATGCACACACCCCTTCACAGCTTCTCCGCGTCATATGATTAGGGTCATTGGACATACCTAGGGAAACTACACACATGTGCTATTTCTTAATAGAAATAAAATGTACTGTATTCAATATACGGATTTCTAAAAAAAGTTGCATTGAAATTGAAATCTTGTGAATCATATTTTTAACTTAAAAGAACTTTTGGTAAATTCTTGTATAAAAATAAAAGAAGTCCTTGAAAAATTCAGTCACTTCCTTAATTCATTATAAAACCACAGACTCTTAGAGTTAAAATCCCACTTCAACCCATTCACTTAAATGTTAATTTACAAGGTATTTTTAAAGCATAAGGAAGTGCAGTTTGCTGGTTTCATTGCTGTTTCCTGAGAGAGCAGAGGAGACAGACCACTGAAACATCACGCCGCCTAACTCTTGTCCATCCAGTGTGCACTCACTTGACACCATAAACACAGCCTCAACATGTATAAAGAAACGCCATCACAATAAAAACAAATTACCAGCAAGGATGGAGAAGCTGAACCACCGCGTTCATCAACCATCAAAAGGGGCCTGTTTTTAAGACAACTACACAGATCACAGGAATGGCCGCTCTGTCTCCTTCAGCCTCATGGTCCTATGAAATTTTAGTATGTTCCGTTTACCAAATGTTATTTCACAGAAACAAACTGTGCTTTCTGTTAGGTCTTCCATAAATACTTAAAACATTTTCTTTTCTTTGTAACATTCTGACAATTGTCACGTCAAACCATTCCCAAGAGATGGACATGTCTTACTACTTTGTTTTCCTTTTTGCTAGTGGCGCCCCTCCTGCTGCTGACCTGTGACTGTGGGAAGGGACCTATTGGCGGAGTAACATCTGGGTTTATCCCGGTTCCTGAGGGCTCAGAAGGAACCATTCATCAGTGGGGGATCGAAGGGGCCCAGCCTGAAGACAAGGTGAGGAGCCAGTGTGTCAAACATTTATTTCCGTTATACAGAGTGAAGTTCTGTTAGCATTCAGATAGGAAAGGGGATTGTGGGACATCAAAAGGGCCCTCAGGACCCTTGGGAGTCAGTGCTGCCCTGAATGGCGCCTTTTAAGATCTTAGTTCTTCAGACGCCGAAAGTGGTTATTCCTGTAAGCCTTTGGGTTTCTTGTAATGTCACCATTTGCAAAAAGCCACAAAATCTGTGCGTATTTTTAATGTATTTTTTAACATGGTTTTCAGGAAATCACAAATATTTGTGTGCCACTTATAACCTCCAATGGAGCTGATTTCATGGAAAGTTCTGGTACGTGAACATCAAATTTATTTCTGAAAGTCACAGTGGGTTAAATAAGAAATGTTGAAAGGCAAGAAGTGTTCTAAATTATTTTCTCAATAATTTGTGTACATCCTGGGAGGTGGTACCATTAAGATAGGGTTTTAATGAAATGGTTTATTTTTAGAATATTAGTTAATTTCATGACCTAAATCTGGCTTCAGTAAAGTTCATTTGCCCACTGATGCTACTGTTTTTAACATATGAAGATTTGTTACTTTTCTCAAACTTTAATAAACTGAAATATAGCTCTCACACAGTCAGTTATGATGTTTTCTATTCACAGGAATAGAAAAGATTTCATACATAGAGAGAAATATAACAAACACTATACTACCACCCAACTTGAACTGTTCTTTTTGTAGTTGTTGTTGACTATTACACATTCTTTTCCTTCCACTTGCCCCCACCTCCTAGGCCTTTTCCTCACTATCCTCTGTGTCCAGGGTTATGCATATGTGCATATATGTTTGTTGGTTGATCTCTTCCTGTCCTCTCCACCCTCCATCCTTCTGAGAGCTGTCAGTCTGTTCCATTTATCCATTTATCCTCTGGTTCTATCTTGTTCATCAGTTTATTTTGTTCTTTAGATTCCACATCTGAGTGAGGAGACCATGTGATACTTGTCTTTGACTGACTGACTTTGCTTAGCACAGTACTCTCTAGGTTCATACATGCTGTTACAAAGGGTAAGCGACCCTTCTTTTTCGCTGCTGCCTAGCATTCCATTGTGTATAGTACCATAGCTTTTTTATCCGCTCATCGTCTGATGGGCACTTGGGCTGATTCCAGTTCTTAGCTCATCTAAACAATGCTGTGCGAACATTTTCTCAGGCACCAGGACACCAAGCTAGCACCAGCTAATCTGCATGATCACACCTGCATGGCTCCTCTTTGGGTTTCAGACTGAGCCAATAGGGCAGCTTCATTACAATTTTCCCCCTGAAAACACATAAGCATCGCATCAGAAGCTCCCCAGGGCGGTGTGCTGAATGTCCTGTTTTCACTTTTCCATTGCTGGCTGCTGTCTCTGAAGATCCATTTCCTCTGTCTGTTTTCAATCAGCATGTTTTCAGAGCTCTTTCACCAGTTCCCTCTGCTCTACCCTCACCTCCACGTTCCTCTCACAGAACAGACTGCGGGATGCTCTTATCTCCACTAGACACAGCGCTGTGCTTTCTCCCACCGATCTGCTTTCCTTAATGGCTGCTCCCGGATATCAGAGGCTGGCGTTTTAAGGAACCCCAGTATGAGCCGTAGCGAATGTCCTTCCTGTGTTTAGATGTCTGCATGAATGCCTGCACCAGAGGAATGACGGCGGAAGGAGCGTCGGGCATGGAACTGACCACCAACCTGGGAGCGGCCGCGGGAGCTGGGGCCGCCGCGGGGTTCGGAGCCACCACTGGCCTGGGCTTCTGCTCCGCGGGCCAGACGGGAACCATGCGGACAAGGCATTCCACGGGAGGGACCCACAAGGAATGTGTCGAAGGAGCAATAAGCATGAACTTCTTGGAGTCCTACTTTTCCCAGGTAATCTGGTGAAAAACTTCGTGCCTCTGTTATCTCACTTACATTAGAGATCTTTTTCTACTTGACTATATTTCAGTTTTGCAGTTGCTTTACAGCTTGCTAAAATGTAACAAAAAAAAATTGGGGTACTTTGCCTAAATAATACAAATAAACGAGGATGGCTGTCAAAATTGGGCTACTGAAGGAGTAATAGGCAAATAGACTTTTTCGGATTTCAGGATCAGCAGCGTCCTCTTTAGAAAGAAATACGAAGCAGCTTATTTTGTATTTCCTGTACCATAGAGGATGCCAGACAGAAGTACATATACTTTTATGAGAAAAGGTTATAGTATTCACATTTTCAAAGCAGTCTGTGCCCAGAAAAGTTGAATAACCATTGACTGAATGACCCAAAAATAAAAGTGGGAGGAAGGGATGTGGTCAAAGACCAGTGAGCACAGAACCATAAAGGGACAAGGGCACCAGAACAGAGGACTCTGCGAGCAAGCTGCTTGCCTCCTGGTTGGTGTGTGATTAGAACAGATCTCACCATCTAGTTTTGGTTTCAAACTGGTAGGTGCCAGGATCTTGCCCACAGATGGCGGCTGACGCTGCGTTTGCGGGTAGCCTGGAGGGAGGGCTTGCTTGGGAAGAGGAGGCTGGGACCGTCTGAGGCGGAGTGGGCCCAGGTTAAGGGCAGGCTCCCACGAGGGCTGTGGGGTCTAGGCCGAGGCCGCAGTCCGGCTGGGCGCTGTGTAAACGATGACGGTGGGATGTCTCCTCTCCTCCCCCAAACACAAAGACACGCATGGGCACAAGTACACACAGGGACCTCACTCGGCCCCGGGGGCAACCTCCAGGCTTCACACACATTCGTTTCTCAGGCCTACATCCATGTCAGTGCCTTCAAAGCCAAGAATTAGCACGTGAGCCTCGGTCAGGCTCAATTCTGAGGGAAAGTCAACTACACTACTCTCCAAACCAGAGAATTTCTGCTGAGATGGGTGGTAGGAAGGCTGTCTATGTCCCCGGATCACCTAAGTCGCACATTCCTATCGGACCTTGCGCGTGGGGGTGGCACTGTGCTCTCCGCTGAGTCTCTTTAAATTCACGCGCCCACTCTCCTCCACTTCAGAAAGCGGTCACCTGCGCAGAGGAGGACGGGGGCCAGGAAGCAAACGACTGCTTGCTCATCTATGACAACGAAGGCCTGGGGGCCCCCGGCTCCCCCGTGGGCTCCCTGGGCTGCTGCAGCTTCATTGCCGACGACCTGGATGACAGCTTCTTGGACTCGCTGGGCCCGAAGTTTAAGCAGCTGGCAGAGATCAGCCTGGGGCTGGATGACACAGGCAAACAGGCCCAGCTGCCCGCCCACAGCAGCGGCTCTGGGGCGGGCGCCTGTGGCCACTCCGTGGAGATGCAGCACTCGGAACCGTTTAGGGGCCAGACCACGTCGGGCGGTCAGGGGGCTTGCGCTTGGTCTGCTTCGGGCTCTGTCCTCCAGCCGGCCATTTCCATCCCCGACCCCCTGCAGCAGGGCAGCTGTCTGGTGACGGAGACTTACTCGGCTTCTGGCTCGGCTTGTGGCTCCTTCCTGTACCCTCCCACTGCGACCTTTGACCCACTTCTCACGCAGCAGAATGTGGTGGTGACAGAACGCATGATCTGCCCCGTTCCCAGTGGCCACGGCCACCTGCACGGGCCCACCGAGCTGCGAGGGGCCTGTAACATGATCTGCACAGAAGACCCTTGTTCCCGTCTGATCTGACCGGAACGGCCTGGAGCAGCATCCTGGCCCCATAAAGATATTCGGACCGAATTATCCTAATGGCATAGCGGGGCTCTCAGTTGGCACCTACTTGCTACTCTCAGAAAGGGATCAGAGTCACAGTTGAAATTTTCTAGTTCACACCCCCGAAGTGAAGGTGGTGCCACTGTTAATTCTCAAACACTACTCAGGTGGAAGTAAATGTCAGTGCCTTTCAGAAAATCTTAACATGCTCAGTAGGAAAACTCCCAACCATTCTTGAACTTCTGCTTTTGCAGCGCCCAAGGGAGACGTCCACGGCTTTAAAATGCTGATGCTCTTTCAGGAGATTGAGCAGCTGGAGCCAAGGGCCCTGGTTCTTGTCTCCGTCGCCTTATCTTGGGCCATGAATAATGATGGACAAGTCTCAGTGCGGGCTCAGCACCCTGAGGGGCTCAGGAGGGGAAAAGAGAACTAGTCAGAGTTGACGTTTCCGTCTCCTTGGTGCGGGAGACCCTAAGCGCATCTCTTCCCCAAGCTAAGGGCTAACTTGCTGCAGCTGTGTGCCTCATAGTCTAACAATAAGACAGTTTTACCACGGAACGTTTAAGAACGTTTAGTAAGTTGTAAATAGTATCTGGGGTTTCTTTATTCATCTTGAAATGATCTCTGCAAAGAAAATGTTTTACACTGAACTCCTTCCTACGTGCTTCTTAGTAACAAATCCTGTACTAATAGTTTAAAATGCTCCTTATTTTTACTTTTGCCAGTGCCCGGCTAGCTCAGTCAGTAGAGCATGAGACTCTTAAAATGCTCCTTATTTTTAAATGCCGGTGGGTAGATGTAACTTACACATGTCACATTTTGATGTTTATTACGTATGCAACGCCTACAGACTTTGTGGAAACACAGAACCTGGCTTTCTCGTGAGCAAAGGGGGCCTCTGGCTAGGATAACATGAGACGACATTTGTCAATATGTATTATAAGCAGCATCAGGAACATCGATTTTTTTCAAGCCTCGCTCTTTTTTTTATTATTATTAAACAGCTACAGCAATTTCACTCTTGACATAACAATGTTAAGTTAGTTAAGATTTAGGATATATTCTTTCACTGTGTTATCATGACAGCAATGCAGTTCTTCAAGTGATTTCTGCTCCTCCAAGATTTTAGCCTCTGAGCCTCTGAGAGCATCTCCCTGCTCGTGGCCCTCACTGTCTGGGCTGAGTCCCCACAAGGTCACTGTGCAGCTCACTACTCTAATTGTATATAAAATTCTCCTTTTTTTTTTTTTTGCCAGATTCAAAATTGATATTTGTTTTTCCAGATAGAATGCTAAGTAGTAAAGTGTTTATGTTTTCACCCCGAAGTCTTGAGGACACCCAGAGGGAAAGAGACCCCTAAATGTCCTTCCATCCAGCATGCGCCCCTCTCCCGGTCCCTAACTCCCGGGGCACTGCCAGCTTAGCCTGGGGGTGCAGGCGGCGTGTCTTCCAGGCAGGGCTGCTGCTGCTGCAGGGCCTGCGGTGTGCTTGTCTCGAGTTGAGGGGAACTGAACCCCGGGGAGCAGCCTGCGGGGTCCTGAGGGAGTCGCTTTGCTATGACAACTGGGCACCCCTTCTCTTGTGGCTCAAAGACGCTTTCTCTGGGATCTTGAGCTGTGCCTTTGTTTATACAGAAGTTACGCTAATGGTCATAATAACCCTTATTCTGAGTTCAAAAGTGTACTCAGGATTCTCAAAGGGTTTTAACTTTGCCTCTTAAACCCACCTTCTCGGGATATGGGGTTTTGCTGCATTTGTCGGACTGAAGAGGAAACCACGCCTGGCAGGAAGGTGCTGGAGTGGAATAACGGCAGTTCGATGTGTCTGAAACCAGAACACAGCAGCCTGTCTCAGGGGACCTTGAGTTGATTCGCTATGTAAAATTACATCCACAGCAACAAATGCATCTGTATTTTTTCATCAAAAATAAAAATTGTTTTAAGCAGAAAAAAAAATTTTAAACTGTCTTTTTACTTGCTGTATCACCAATTTACAACGGTATATATTAGAACTTTAATAGTATAACATCGTTATAATAAAACCTTTTGGTGACACACTTAATGAGTACTTCCTTAACCATTCACTAAAAGCTGAACTGCTCTCTATAATCAATAGTTATTTAAAAACATGATATAAGAAAGTGACTTCCATTTATGTTTTGTCATTTTCCCAGCTGCCCCCTGTCCAGGCAGGAAGGACGTACCAGGAGCCCCAGGACCTTCCTCAGGTGGGTGCAAACGGTGCTGGGTGAGGTCAGGGCAAACTTGTGCTAACAGGGTGCTGTAACGTGTTTATCATTTCTTTGGTAATCTAGCCTCATCTTTCAGGCAAGTTTTAACATTCTATGATGACTCAGAGAGAAAAGTTGGGATAAAGAGAAGGTAAGGTTTCCAGCCTAACACATTGGGGACAGCTGTTAGCCACAGTGAGGGGGGGTAGGGGGGGTTGCTAAATGCTTGTCGTTTTATGTCTTTTTTTTTTTTTAAGGAATGCCACAATGTAAGTCCCTTCAGAATGTCAGATCTTGCTTCTGACTGACCTTCCTCACTCTTAAATGCGGACTTGGACTTGGAGTAAAGGGAGCAGACACTGGACTGGAATGGATGTTGAGTGAAGGAAGTATACGACCTAACTCGGACGATCAACTCAATTTCAGGAAAAATGAAAGCCACGTAGGTAAATACCACCAGTTTCTCTTATTCTTAGAAAATTCAAGAAATAAAAATCTTAATTCTCAAAAGCCAAGAGCGTAAAAGGAATACATCGAACTGACTAGCTTCGATGTGACTAGAAATGAAGAAACAGGTGGAAGTTCAAGGTCTTTCCTTCCTATTCTGGGCAACTCAGCCCTTTCCCAGCTCCTCTTCCGGGTGACAGAGAGAAACTGAGTCACAGGGTATGTGGTTAACACTTGTTCAACCGCACCGCCCAGGAGGCTCTGTGTCAGGGGCAGGATTGATCTGAAAACAAGACGATCGTTTGCATTGCAGGTGACAGAGGACCCGCTTCCCAGGACGAATACTGAGATTCTGAGCTTTACCCGACCCGGGCTGCGCTGAGATCCCCTCCCTCCGACAGAACGGCGGCCAGGCTGGGTTGGTGTCTTTACTTTCTTTTTCGTTAATACATTGACTTTTGGTTCTTTTTACAAATACAAACCAAAAAATCTACACACGGAGAGATGTTGCTAAAAAGCAAGAGAATGACGGCCTAAAAGAGCAAGTGTCAATGCATGCAGCGGCCAGAGTGGGGAGAAGCGAGACAGGGCGGGGGCTGCCTCCCAGACGGCCAGAGGGACAGGTCTCATTTAATTCTTAAAGGACCCTCAGCTTGCAGCCCCGAAAGCAGAGACTCCTGGCTTCCTCGAGGTCGTACAGCACTGTGACAGAAATGTAAAGGTCTGACTATAACTACTCAGCACTGCTGACAATTATTTCTCTCAGAATAATCTATTTCAGCTCTGAGGTTTGAGCAGAACATGAAAATTTGGAAAGAATACAAAGAAAGCAGTCAAAATTATTTTTAAAATATTGAAAATATTAGAATCTAGATATAATTCTAAAGATTAAAGAAGCCATATAATGTAGGGGTTGACATACATACAGGGGTTGACAAAATTAGGTTTACAGTTTAAGTACAAGAAAGAGTTTCTTCACATATTATTATTTGTTAATTATGTATTACTAGAGGCCCAGTGCATGAAACTCGTGCACTCAGGGGGTCCCTCAGCCTGGTCTAAGCTCTCTCTTGTCTAGGAGTCCTTGGGGGGATGTCCAACTAAGGGGAAGCAGGAGAGGCTCCTGCCACCACTGCTATGCTCCCCAGCCATCTGGCTCAGGGCTTGTGGCTGAGCAGTGCTCCCCCTGTAGGAGCGCAAGGCCCACCAAGGGCAGCTCCTGCATTGAGCATCTGCTCCCTGGTGGTCAGTGTGCGTCATAGCAACCGGTTGCTCTGCCATTCGGTTTATTCGCATATTAGCCTTTTATTATATAGGATTACTACAACTGTAAACCTACTTTTGTTCACCCATGTGTGTGTACATAGAGAGATAGAGAACAAGAGTTAGACATATCTCTCTTGTATATCTAACATTAAGAGAGAGAAAGAAGTAGAGATCGAGAGATGGATTAAAATAATGCAAGTACATGATTTGCTGCTATCCTGAAGTATGTGTGAGGTTATTTTTCAGGGCACAATGTCCAGTTCTCTCCCATATTTAACAACAAAACAAGCTACATAGAAGTCATGTAATCTTTTTTAGTAAACTCCTTAAGAATTATTTTGACAGTACACTTTTTAGAAGAGGTTAAATAAATGTCTAGATATAAGCATAACTTTTTTTTAATTTGGTATTTGTAAATATTGTGAAATAAACACACAATAAATCTAGTTAACAACTGTCACTCTACATAATTACAAAAAAAAATGTTTTCTTTTGTGATGAGTTTTAAGATTTAGTCTCAGCAACTTTCAAATATGCGATTCAGTATTATTAACTATAGTGATCACGCTGTACACTGCTGCATCCCCAGGCTTATTTCATATATATATATATATATATATATATATATATATATATATATATATAATTGATTTTTTACAGAGAGGGATAGAGTGTTAGAAACATTGATGAGAGAGAATCATCAATCAGCTGCCTCTTGGACACCCTCTACTGGGGATGTGCCTGCAACCAAGGTACATGCCCTTGACCAGAATCGAACCCAGGACCTTTCAGTCCTCAGGCCAATGCTCTATCCACTGAGCCAAACCGGTTTCGGCTAGGCTTATTTCTTTTATAACTAGAATAATAAATTTGTACCTTTCGACCCACTTCCCCCTCTCCCCCCCAACACCACCCCATCACCACCACCACCACCCTGGCCTCTGGCAGCCACCAATTAGTTCTCTGCATCTATGAGCTTGTTTTTTGTTTTGTTTTGTTTTAAAATAATAACTTTAAGTGGGTGCATTCATCT